GGGGGATGGAACACCTCTCCTATGAAGAAAGGCTTAGACAGTTAGGGTTATTCAAGCTGGAGAAGAGCAGGCTCCTGGGAGACCTTATTGCGGCCTTTCATTTTATGAAAGGGGATTATAAGAAAGACAGAGAGAGACCAGGGCCTGTAGTGACAGGACAAGGGGCAACAGTCTTAAACTGAAAGAGGGTAGGTTTAGATTGGGCATAAGGAAGAAACATTTTACAATAAGGGTGGTGAGGCAGTGGAACAGGTTGCCCAAAGAAGTTGTGGATGCCCCATCCCTGGAAGTGTTCAACACCAGGTTGGATGGGGCTTTGACAACCTGATCTAGTGAAAGATGTCGCTGCCCATGGCAGTGGGCTTGGACTAGATGATCTTTGAAGGTCTCTTCCAACCCAAACCATTCTGTGATTCAATTCCACATAATTCTACTTTCACTATTCGTTTGAGTTAACAGCAATATTTCCACCTAATGAAATGAGAACAGGAAGAGGCACTGAAAGTTCTTGACAAACACTTAAAAGAGCTTTCAGAACACAGAAACAGCATAGGGGCTGATTGAAAGATATTTGCCAAACATAATTCCCCCAGCACTCAACTCCATCTGTTCAGAACTGGAACATCTCTCCCCAGAAAGGAAATTCCAAGATTCCCAAATTTATTTTCATCCCAAGACATAACTGAGTAGGAAAATGTCATGGCACAGGAAGTTCAGAAACTTTGAGACAGCTGTTTCAAAGTACAAAGTATAGAATCATAGAATCATTTAGGTTGGAAAAGACCCTTAAGATCATCAAGTCCAACCATTAACCTAGCACTGCCAAGCCCACCGCTAAACCATGTCCCTAAGTGTCACGTCTACACGTCTTTTAAATAATTCCAGGGATGCTGACTCAACCACTTCCCTGGGCAGCCTGGTCCAATGCTTGACAACCCTTCCGGTGAAGAAATTTTCCCTAATATCCAACCTAAACCTCCCCTGGTGCAACTTAGGGCCGTTTCCTCTCATGCTATCACTTGTTACTTGGGAGAAGAGACCAACACCCACCTCGCTACAACCTCCTTTCAGGTAGTTGTAGAGCGTGGTGAGGTCTCCCCTCAGCCTCCTCTTCTCCAGGCTAAACAGCCCCAGTTCCCTCAGCCGCTCCTCATAAGACTTGTGCTCCAGACCCTTCACCAGCTTCGTTGCCCTTCTCTGGACACACTCCAGCACCTCAGTGTCCTTCTCGTAGTGAGGGGCCCAAAACTGAACACAGGATTCGAGGTGCAGCCTCACCAGGGCCGAGTACAGGGGCACAATCACCTCCCTACTCCTACTGGCCACACTATTTCTGATACAGGCCAGGATGCCATTGGCCTTCTTGCCCACCTGGGCACACTGTCGGCTCGTCTTCAGCCAGCTGTCAACCAGCACCCCCAGGTCCCTTTCCACCAGGCAGTTTTCCAGCCACTCTTCCCCAAGCCTGTAGCATTGCATGGGGTTGTTATGTACCTCCACTCAAAATAAGTACATAAATTTTAACAAAACTTGATGCAACTCGTCAAGCAAAAAGAAAAAGCTTGAAAAAGCTTTTTTTCTTGAAAGAAAAAAAAAAACCAAACAACCAAAATCCCAACCCTCCATTTGAGGCATGTTATGGATTTTTTTTAAAATAAGGATCCGTATCCAAAGTGCTCTTGGAAAAGGAGATCTGAGCTTGATTATGAGTAGATTCAAGACAACAGTTAGACTAACAAGTGCAAATCTCAACTCCAACACTCATCTCCCTGTATTTTCATGCTCTTTTCTCCCGAATATTGTTTTCCCTTTTTTTACAACACTATTTTCTCTCTTCTGTTTTTCCTTCTCTTCTTCTCCAGTGTCTCGTTTCCATATCACATTTAGCACACCTACTTTATTTTGTTACCTTTTTTACATTCACTACCTATCTCTAAGCACTTGAAAACTGCAGGTGATCACTGGCTAACAGGCCAACCTAATGGGTAGCCCCCGAGTGGTAACAAGCCTGGCTTCCTCCCCCATCAGCTGCTGGAAAAAGGCACTATGTATGCCTTCCTAATAAATTCCTGCCCTGAATTTTGCTGAAGGACTCCATCTTTTCAAACTACCAGCTAGCTAGCTACTGATAAAAAGGTAATTTCCTTTTCCTCCTTCTCAGTAAATCCACAAGCAGTGGTAGACTCAGTGGGTTATTTTCAGACCGCTAACCAACCGTAGCACCCAAGGCAGCTACGTGCAGTGAAAGCATCTAGGTCAAGAGAGCAACGAGCGATTCAGCCTGCCGGCTACCTGGGACTAGCTGACACCAGCATGCTGGCAAGGAAGAGAGGTGAGTACGGCTCCTGAATCAGATGTCACGGGAAGTGGTATGAGTATAGGCCAGCATTCTTCTTCTGTGTGTGCAGAGCCAAAAAGTCACCATGGAAGTTAACCATCTAGGACTTCACCTACTTGCCTTCAAACCATGAGGGTGAAAAGCTCTGCTTTAATACATTTTTAGGATTCTCCAAAAGCTTAATGCACACTCACCAAAAAATACTTACTGCTTTACCTATGCAAACTGATTTTTCCAAACCCAGAGTTGGCTAATATTTACCATTCTATTACAAAACACCTTTTTAAGTACAAATCAAGAGTCCCTCCATCCCAAGACAGAAAGTGGAAGATAAGAATTTGTTAAACCTGCCCCATTCCTTCGCTGTTTGCACTTACTTTCATTGAATAAAACTAACATTTTTTGTTATTGAATCTGTATCACTAGCAACTACTACAGCTGGGCCAAATAAATTTACGCAATTTTTCTAAACATTTACTCAACTGAAGTTGAAATCAAAGAGTTAATTAGCAAATAGGTCCATTGTGCATAGAAACATGCATCTTAAAATACATAAAGGAATAACCTCTAAGCATGTCAGGAAGCACTCCTTTCACATTGGATCTCTCACTGGACTGAGAAGGGACAGTTCCTGAAAGTGTCTGCAGCAGGCAATGCAGCATACCAGAAGATTGGAGTTGAAGGCCTTACTTTTTTTAATTATTATTTTAAAAATCACCTCCCTGTGCTTCTCCCATTCCCACTTTCATCCACGAACAAAGACCTTGCTCACCTGCAAACAGTTTTTCAAAACTTTACCACTTAAACTCTTACCCTCTCTAGGTCTTGCCTCAAATGCATGAACATCCGCATGCGAGTATGAATGCTATCTTCTTTTGGCTGCACCAAGCCATTTTCTTCATCCTCCTTGGGAGGAAACAATGGTTTGTTAAAGTTACTTTTTCGCTTTAATTTCCAGTAATTGTAGATGAAGTCTACAGCAAGTTTAGGAAGGCCCAGTTCTGCTGCAACATCCTCCACTTTAACTAGTGAGTAAAACTCTTCTTCCAGCTCTCGGAGTTTCTGGGCTCGCAAACTGGTTTTCTCACTCTCTGTTTGCTTCTGGTCTGACATGCTCTTGGGGTGCTCATCAACATCAGGCAGCGAATTCTGTTTGTTCTTGCTGTGCTTTAGACAATACGACTTGAACTTGACCTCATCCCCATCATCCAGGATAGTCTTCATCTCTAAGCTATGCTCAAAGGCACAGGTGACATGAAAGGCAGTGATACAGCTTTTCACAGAACACTACAGGCAAAATAAAACAAAAAACCTCAATCACTAACAGTAGCAACAAACCAGAAAAAAAGGACAGAATTATTTTAATTACATGGAAGTCCACCCCTACAAAAACATATTTCCTAAGCACTCTTAAAAATATCTGTTGATCTCTTTGAATTTGGTATCACCCGATTTAGTATTTTCCCTTTTGTGAACAGTGTTCAACGGAAGGACCTTTCTATCCATCTCTGACCCACATAGTAGCAGTCCTTACACATCTCAGCCTTATTCAAAAGAAGGCAACTCAGACTAACTCCTAAATCTCCGTGCTAGTGAACTAATTTGATAGCAAACAGCTATGAAGAAGTAGGCATCTATCCAACGGTCATCTGCATTATAAAGCATCTCTGAACACCAGAAGAACAAAACGCAAAACTGAAAAAACCCTTCTCACATAGACTCAAGAGTTACCACAGGACAAGTACGTACCTGAATGCAAGCACCAGTTTTCAGTTTGCATAAACTACACACTAGAGCCCATCGACTTGGTGGAATGTGAGACACCTTCGTGATTGGCTCCATCCTTTCTGGGCAAGCAATGCTAACCTGTAAACAAAAAAACAGCATGGAAAGCAATTATCAAGGCAATAAAAGCAAGCTCTCCATTCATACCAGAAGAAGAAATATGACCACACATTTATCTCACTGCGAGATCTCCATGTGCTCCTACTTCTTAGCAAGGGACCCTCAAAGATCCCACAGGAAAACAATGTTGTGGAATACTACTAATTTAACCTCGTGGCTAGAAGTTGCAATTCTTCAAAACGTTTGAGGCATCTACAGCATGCCTTGTTATGAACCAGTTGAGAGACTGCAGTAAGTGATCCTTAAGTTTATTTCCCTTCCATTCTGGTTTTTTTTTCCTGTGCTGCTTTAACAGGTCTAACTTAAAAAGTACCAAAATACAAGCTACTCAGAACAAAATAGGAACACTTACTCATACTTACGTGAAAAGTTCCTTCTTTAAGATCCACAGATCTGCTACAATAGCTACTTCTGCCAGCTCACAATCTGGGGCAGAACCAGATCTATCAGTCAGCAGCCAGGGAAAGCCTCGCTTCCCAGCTCTGCCTCTCCACTGAGCGCTCCCAATGCAAGAGGTGATTCTCTTTCCTAACTACAGATTGTATCAAGTATAATTTGAGAAAGAATACAACAAACTTCTCTTACTGCAAAGCATGGTATATTCTCTTGTGCCAGTTTTCACATACTTAGTCTGGATGATCCATTTGTCTCTGGTAGACCAGATTATGGATATTAATACTAAAAGAAAGAAAAAAATTCAGATAAGCACAGGATACTTTTTTCTATTCTTTGTTATACTAACGTCCATATATCCATTGTGATAGAAATTTCTCAGCTGCCTGTTGTCCATGCTGGGAAACAAGGACTGTCCTCCATAATTTGGACACCAAAACAGACATAAATTATCTCCGTAGGCATCCCTGAGCTACTCCTGGCAGACAGGATTTATCCAAGGACAGAAACAAAAAGTTGGCCAGCTCTGAATGACCAACATGCAGAACTGGGCCAGTATGAGAATGGCACATGGCAGAAGATTTCAGTGAGATAACTGTCCTGTCCCAAGAATACCAGTCTCCAAAAGCTTGGATTTTGATGCTTACACAGCACTTTTTGAATTTAGCCATTGTGTGCTTTGGAGGGCTACCTGCCTGAAGAAGAAATACAATGCTGATTCTAGCTAGGAAGATCCCCACACTTTCTATGAACATTTCACCTGAACAGAGCAGACCTGTATTTCCAGTGGTAGGATAGGGGCCTCTTCTCAAAGGGGTCAGATCTAGGAATTCAAAGAAAAAAGGTTCCCTTGGTCATGCTCTGTGGCACTGTGAGGCCAGAATAAAGCTGATTCCTTAAGAAGTAAGTTAAGGCTGAGATTGGAACAGCAATTGTTTTTTCTAGAAAAATTTAAGAGCGTCATGCTACAGTAGTTTCCATAGATTACCTCCATAATAAGACTTTCCTAGGGAAATCCAGGTTATATTAACAAGTTTAACATGTGATAATTAAACCATTGACTTTACAAGAGCTAGTAGCCTAAGCTGAATTTTGTAGCTTCCCTTTTGGGGTACATCAACAATCACTTGATGCACGTATTCATTTTAAAACCTGCTTAATCCCTGAGGAGGAAAGGCTTTGCTTCAGCAGACCTCTGTGAGGTAGACTTACCCAAAGACAGCAGTGCCAAGTTGATCAAGTCCGAGAGTCATAGTTCCTATGCTCAACCTGAGTATTTTTGCTACTTTCTCCTTATCATTGCATTGCTCTAAGGATCATTTAAGAAGGTGGAAAAGACAGCTTTGCAAGAGATTACTTGGTTCATCAGTTCCACATTTTAAAAAGTTGATCAGCAGTTCATGAATGAATGACATAAATTGACTCTAATAAGATTTATATTTGTTACAGTACTTCACCCTCTGGTCCCCCAACTGCAAGCCACATCTTGTGGAATATACTGAGGTCAACCTGCTGCATGGCGTTTCCAGAAGTCTTCATTAGGAAGATAGTGAGATGCTTCAGAGAGGGTCCAGGTTTTACCAGACAAGAAAGAGAACAGGCAAGCAATATGTGATGCCCTCATCAGGTAGAGATGACAAACAATTTAATCTGTTGTGGCCTTCCTATAAATTGGTGGGAAAGTGACAAAGCTGTCCCTGAAACGCTTGAATGGTTCCACAAAACCATGTCCAGCACTCTTAAACATCACCAAATGTAGCTTTTTTGCTTCCAAAATGAAAGAGCCTTTCATCAACCTAACTCGACATTCTTCAAAACAGAGCTGGTTACAAGTTGCACAGGTATTTCTGAAGCAATATTGTACAAAGACTGACTGCAATTCTCGTCCCAGTTACCACTACACTAAGAGGCAAGACTTCCTTTGGGAATGAAGGGATTATATCAACTTGTCAGGTTGTCTATATTCCTTTCAAAAAGAAACCAGAATTTTCAGTGAATTTTCTGGAGACTGAGCAATACCAGCTTTCCACCATGCTTCCTCGCAGCAGCTGGGAATTGACACACACCTTCTCCCTGTCCCTCTGCCCCTTTTAATGCTCTCCCTGCTCCTTCCCCAGAGGGGAGTCATAAGGTCAGGACACGTTTATGGTGGAAATACTGTCCATTCAGCTTGTAATGCTGCCTGTTTATATTACCCCACTTTGTAAAAGTACAAAGAGGCACTTAGAGAGTCAGGTGCAATTTATTTATACTGGCCTTGTGCCGCCTGCATGTTTCTGATATTCAAAGAGAGGAGTCAAGGCAAAGTCTGTTTGAACTTCGCTGCTCACAAGGGATCCAGAGGGCAGAGAAGCCAACCTTTTTGTTCCCCAAAACCTCCCATCCCAAGGCAGAAATGATCCATCTGCTGTAACACGTAGCTGTTTTCTCTGTTTTTTCTTCACCTTGTAACATGTTACATCTTGACTGCTGTACTCTGAAGAAGTTTTAAGAGTGGGAGAGAGTGAAGACAATAGGCTGTTGAAGCGTCTTCTCTGCAACTGTTATGCACATGAGCTGCCATCTCAATCGTCACCATGCTGCCACTAGCAGCTGCAGGAGCGCACAATGATCTGCATTGGTGGCTGAGAAGGGCAGCCCAGCGGCTGGAGCACAGCCACTCACAACAGCAGCTAAGGATAGTCAATTTGATACCCTTCCAGTTGTAGCAAGGAAAAATAACTTTCCACTGCAGCTAACACCACATTGATTGAGGGAGGACATAACTGTAATGGGTTATCTAAGGCAGACAAGGACCTTGAATTTCAAAACACTCCGTATAAGTTTTCTGGTCTCGGTGTTTCCTTTTTTCATTTTTTTAAAAGAATGCCTTTTAAGAAAACATGAAATAGACTACACATTTACACTAAAAGACAGTGAAGGCAGAAGGGTCAAGAAAGCCTTTCGACAGCATTAGCTCACAAGGAAGGGAGGGAAGAAAAAACATTTTAAGACAGTGCCGAATGAGTTAATGAAGGAAAATACCTGGTGCAATTGCCTGCAACAATGCTAGCCTATACTTGGTGATTCATGAAGTCTCTCTTGGAACCTTTTAACCACAAGACACAGACATGTTTATGGCCCATTCCTCTCTGCATTCTGCCTTGCTCAATTTTATTAGAGCCACAAGCGGAAATGGCAGTGACTTCATAATTAATCTATTTCTTTCGGGGGAGTTCCAGTGTGCTACTATCTTGGGGAGAAGAAAAATAGGTATATGAGAATACACATTCTCCCCTAAAGTATCCATCCCCAGGTCTTCAAACTCTGGGTCTTTCTTGTCCCCCAAAGCACGTAAGGCCATAGTGACTCTCCAGACACGAACTGACCTGCCATTTTAGTAGAGATTCCCAAAGGTTTCTCTGGCTTCTCCAGTGACTGAATTGTTTTACAAGTGACAACACAGGAGACTGAGGGAGAAAACGGATCCAAGAGGCATTTCCCACCCCTACTGGCAGATGTCACCTCCTCGCTATGCCTGACACACTTGGCATTGCTGTGGAGGGGAGGAGGTGGCCAAGGCCTGGAACCACCGAATGGGCTGTGGGAGCAGCCGGATTTGAGCTCTCCCACCTGGGTGCTCCCCAGCAGCTTCTCTCCCTCGGCCAGAGGGAGGTGGGCAGGTGGGAAGGCAACAAGTGCTCCCTGCCCTGCCATCACTACTTCCCAAACCTGCCAGTTCCTCTTCTGCCGGCAAGAGCATCAAGGCAACCACATGCAGAAAGGATCTTAGGAAAACCAGTCCGCTCAGAGCCAGGAGAGCTTCCAGCCAAGACACTTCATAAGTACAGGAGGAAAAGTCAGGAGATGTATTTTTTTTTTAAATTTTAAAATAAATCTTTTTTTTTTTTTTTTTCCTTTCCAAATTCTCTCTCCTTAAATGTGGAAGAGATGCCGGGAACTACAAGCAGGCCTGAAAGGAACGTGGAACTGCAAAGATAACCTCCTTGAAAAGCAGATATATGCCTGAGACAGAGCTAGGAATTACACATTGCATCTGGCTACTATTTAAAAAAAATACCCAGAATCTCAACATCTTCCTCAAAGTTTTGCAAACATGAGGCCTGGCTGCACTTGGGAGGAGAAGGTTCAGAAAATGATAGAATCACAGAATCATAGAATAGTTCGGGTTGGAAGGGACCTTTAAAGGTCATCTAGTCCAAACCCTCTGCTGTGGGCAGGGATATCTTCAACTAGATCAGGTTGCTCAGAGCCCCGTCCCACCTGACCTTGAATGTTTCCAGGGATGGGTCATCTACCACCTCTCTGGGCAACCTCTTCCAGTGTTTCACCACCCTCATTGTAAAATATTTCTTCCTTGTATCTAGAATCATTGAATCATTAAGGTTGGAAA